ACAATGCTGCCGAAAATATTATGGTGATTTCAAAGTTGTTGGTGTTTATTTAAAAATTTTTTATTATCTAATATAATAGCTAATTATTAGAAGCGAATCGTCTTTGTATCCTTTTTTAAGAGAAAATCATTGATAACATAAATATGTTTTAAATCTGTGTTGTTAGTTTTGAATGTCTTGAATGTTCGGATCTGAATGATAGTGCGCAATCTTCTAAAAACCATCCATAATTTTGTTTATATGATGCTTGTATGTTATTACCATTTCTTAACACTCTATTCTGCACCTAATTTGAATGCAAAAACGCAATGCCTTCTAGTGTGCTCACTGACTTCCCTCCCAATAAAATACTTGTCTGTTCGTGACTACTAGAGTACCACACTTGTGGAAATGACTAGTTAGTTTATGTCCACTATATCTCCACTATCTTTTTCACAAGCCAGTATAAACGGACTGTTTTCCTTGCACTCGATTCTTGTTCCAGGTATTTACTTTTTCCACTTATGATAACTCATTAGCGTCTGCCATATTTATCCACATTATCTTTTATTTCGAGTTTTGACTTCCAATTCATATTCATGAAGCGCTGAGATAGTCTTATTAACTTAACCTAATAAAGTTCATTTGAATCAATGGGGTTCTTTGGACTTATCTCTCAAATCAAAATTTTCTACTTGTCACTGGTTCACCATAACTCCGCCAGTAGAACCTTCGGGGCTACTGCCGGTCCCAAGCCCGGATAAAGGAGGAGGGTTGGACATGGGGTTGGCGACCCCATTCCGTCGAAATCTAACTTGCCGAAAAAACGCTAACCAGAAAAAATAATTCAAACCATTTTAACTCTGCCCTGGGAGTTGGAGGAAGAATTATGACGTCGCGTGATGAAAGCCGAGTTCCATCGGAAGTCACGGGGCTGATGCCTCTTCTGACAACCAGAGCAACCATTTTTTAGGTACATGGAACGTTCGTACATTGTGGGAGACTGGAAGACTATTTCAAGTTGCGGCAGAAATGAAAAGATACAACATGGAGGTGCTTGGAATCAGCGAAACGCATTGAACACAGGTAGGACAACAGAGACTAGCCAAAATGAAACTGAAGCTAAAAAAGCACTGGACAGCGGGGCTGACAACATCACACAAATTTAATACAGCCTTTCTTCGGGACACCGTAAAACTCAACGAATTCAAGATAGCCATCACCAATAGGCTAATGGCCTTGCATGATCTACTCAACCGAGAGAAAGCAACATTGGAAAGGGATTAAGGAGGCTATCACTTCAACATGTCACGAAGTTCTGGGTCACAAGAAGTACCATCAAAGGGAACGGATCTCTGTTGATACTCTTGCAAAAATTGAAGAAAGGAGGAACAAGAAGGCAGCAATCAATGTCAGCCGAACAAGAGCAGAGAAAGTTACCGCACAAACTGCATACACAGAAGCAAACAGGGAAGTGAAGAAGAGCATCAGAGCTGACAAACGAAAATATGTGGAAGATCTAGCAATGACGGCGGAAAAGGCTGTAAGAGACGGAAACTTGAGACAATTGTACGAAACAACAAAGAAGCTCGCCAGAAACTATCGTAAACCAGAACGACCAGTGAAAAGCAAGGAAGGGAAAATAATCAGCAACACTGAACAACAGCGAAATAGGTGACTAGAGCTCTTTCAGGAACTCCTGAATCGACCAGCTCCACTGAACACACCCAACATCGAAGCAGCATCCACGGACCTCCCAATTAATTTTGGCGCACCTACGATTGAGGAGATCAGTATGGTCATCAGACAAATCAAGAGCGGAAAAGCAGCACGACCAGACAACATTCCAGCAGAGGTAATGAAAGCAGATGTAGAAGCAACTGCGAAAATATTTCACATTCTCTTCAAGAAGATTTGGGATGAGGAACAAGTACCATCAGATTGGAAAGAAGGATACCTCATCAAAATACCAAAGAAAGGCGACCTGAGCAAGTGTGAGAACTACAGGGGGATCACTCTTCTTTCGATACCAGGCAAAGTATTCAACAGGGTAATGTTACGCAGAATGAAGGACTTCGCAGACGTCCAACTTCGAGATCAACAGGCCGGATTTCGTACGGATCAATCGTGTACTGACGTAATTGCTACATTACGGATCATTGTGGAACAATCAATTGAATGGAATTCACCACTCTACATCAACTTCATCGATTACGAGAAAGCATTTGATAGCGTGGACAGGAACACACTGTGTAGGCTTCTTCGACACTACGGTGTGCCTGAGAAAATAGTCAACATCATACGGAATTCTTATAATGGATTCAACTGCAAAATCGTACACGGAGGACAGCTAACAGACTCTTTCGAGTTGAAGACCGGTGTCAGGCAAGGTTGCTTACTCTCACCCTTTCTCTTTCTCCTGGTCATCGACTGGATTATGAAGACGTCGACATCTGGAGGGAAGCACGGTATCAACTGAACAGTTAGGACGCAGCTCGACGATCTGGACTTCGCAGATGACCAGGCTCTTCTATCTCACACGCAACAACAAATGCAAGATAAGACGACCAGTGTAGCAGTAGCCTCTGCAGCAGTAGGTCTCAAAATACATAAAGGAAAAAGCAAAATTCTCTGATGCAACACAACATGCAACAACCAAATCACTCTTGATGGAGATGCCTTGGAAGACGTTAACACCTTTACATATCTGGGCAGCATCATTGACGAGAAAGGTGGATCTGATGCAGATGTGAGGGCACGGATTGGCAAAGCGAGGGCTGCATTTCTACAATTGAAAAATATCTGGAACTCCAAACAACTTTCAAACAAAACCAAAATAAGGATTTTCAATACAAATATCAAGACAGTTCTACTGCATGGAGCGGAAACCTGGAGAACTACGAAATCCATCATCCAGAAGATACAAGTGTTTATGAACAGTTGTTTACGCAAAATACTTCGGATTCATTGGCCAGACACCATCTGCAGCAACGTAGTGTGGGAGCGAACAAACCAGATTCCAGTGGAGGAGGAAATCAGGAAGAAGCGGTGGAAGTGGATAGGAGAAATTGCAAAAAGCACTGAACTGCATCACAAGACAAGCCCTCACATGGAACCCTCAGGGCAAAAGAGAAAGAGGAAGGCCAAGGAACACATTACTCAGAGAAATAGAGAAAGACATGAGAGGAATGAACAAAAATTGGACAGAACTCGGAAGGGAAGCTCAGGACAGATTTGGTTGGAGAAAACTGGTTGGCGGCCTATGCTCCATTTGGGGTAACAGGCGTAAGTAAGTAAGTCAGCATCACTGGTTCACTATCTGCTTATATCTCTGCAACATGAGAGAGGGAGAGATTACCAGTAATCTTTGGTTATATTTTTTTTAGACAAGGTTATACTCAAACACAGATACGGGCACCAAATGTCTTTCAAAATGTCGAATGGCTCCATAGAATTTTATTCAGTCAGAACTCCATTGTTGTTACAGATAATAAAGTATTATGGTTCATTTGAGATTCTGAGAAAGCTCATCTAGCTGCTATGGCTTTATCATAAAGTAAATCGGTTATTTCTGACACCTGTATTATTGCGTCAATCCATGTGCAACATAACTTTGCTTGACAAGAAAATTTTCATTCTATTCCAGTCAAGCGATTTACCGCCTCACGCAGGCTAAATAAATGCAGGAGTATCAGTTGAAGAGATACTGAGTCACTCGTGGAAATTAGGTAATCGAGTAAATCATCCATTCAGATAGTTTTAAAATAAAATAATGCTATATCTTGAAAATGATTAGATTCGACTCATGGATAGATAAAAAAAGCCTTTGAATTCACTGTTATTTCGAGACAATAGACTCATTTAAAAATCAACGAAGTAATTTGGAGAAAATTTTCCTAAGCAGTCCACTCCAGTCAGAAGAAATTAGATAGATGACTCTCACAGACAACAGCCAAACATTAAAGCATCGATTTCTTTGCACCAGTGACCAATGAACTGGTAAACCGTCTCTCTGATTATGGAAGATAGTGCGTATTAGGTGTTGACAAAGAGCAAGAAAGAGTTGAAGTCATGTTAAGTTCCTTCGGGACAGTCTTCAGGAAACTCTACTCATCTCAGGGCTAGCTTAACAAGCAATGCCACTACCTACTTAATGTGAAGGTCAGCTACCGAATGCTAAAGTTCTGTAGATACGGAAAATTTGGCATGACCGGATGAACTTATCTCATGACTACTTCGCAGGCACCCGACATGGCTTGCTGCTTCAGCTGCAAAATATACGATATGTTTCTCAACTTAGAAAGGGTCACCCTAGGACTAAGAGGATGAGACACTCCTGAATTTACGACATGTGGTCGATAGACTATTAGATAAACTTCAAGTTGATTAGCTTTACAAGTCTTGTACGAAAAATATTTGAAAAAAGTGATCACAGCTAGTTGTTTTTTAATGAGCGACAAGGGTTTTGGAAAGATTTACCTTGGATTGAGCCGTCGAGGTGTGAATGAACTGGGCTTGCTAGTTGATGTGAAAAGGTGAGTCGATCTGGTCCGGATGTTTGCCTGGGAACGTTCAGCTAGCTTCTGTCTATTGAAACCAGTAGGATCAGTATCAACGTCAAAAAATCACAGAAATTTTTATTTTATGATTTATTCATCGATACAACCAGTTGGCGCTATTTTAGTTGACTTGCTCGTTCTCTCAGTGAAGTTCCGCACCGTAGACTACTATTGAAGCTGGGAGGCTCGAGTATCTTAGGGATGATTAAAAGCTTATATAAGGTCGCTGACAAAGATTAACACAGGTTGTTGACCTTCCATCCCAAGTGCATGAATCTGAATCTGATGTCGACATCCTTTGCTAAAATTAAGTCCAGAATGGAAGCCGGCAAACTAATGTTTATTCTTCTTTGTTTCTAAAAAAGCAGTTTAAGGACTATGCTAGAACTATTTAATACAGACTTAAACTTCGACTGATAATTAGCTCACTTAATGAAGTTTGAATGTTGAATTGTTGAACTAACTCAATGCGTCAGTTCAACTTTATGAGTTACATACTCCTATCAAGGCGATGGAAATGACGGATGATCCCCTGGTCTTAGTTTTTAAAGCCTTAGACACAGAAGACAAAGGATACATCACTGTGGATCAATTTGTGTCAACTTTCAGAGAGTTTTACAATTCCAGTGGCGCTGATGGAGAACGGCGATCATCACTTTCTTCAAACGTAATGTTATTTTTTCGACTGATTGACATGTATTTAGGACATCATGAAAGTGGTGCAAACTTTAGACCCAAAAAATGATGGCATTATACATTACGAAGATTTTAAGAAGGCTTTTGAGGGAAATATAAACCGTAAGTTGTTTTCCATATTTATAATATAAAACTAGTTGATGAAGACAGTACCTCAAAGCATTCAAGTGCTCTATCTAAAAACTTGGATAATCACAACGTATCCGTAAGGTCAAGTTTCCTTTCAGATGGCTTGGAAAACAAGGTACTGTATGTCTTTACATTTATATCTGTGCATTATTTTTTGTTATGTTACGATTTGTGAACCATCAGTGTAACATCTTTATATGTTTTATGTAAATTAAATCCAAAGTTAGTCAGTATTCCTGTTATCCTTTGTCCTTAAAATCACTCAGGCAGTTGTATGGTCTCTGCTTTGTAATGGTACTTCTGCTAGCATTTGTTTTTAGGCCTGCCAATTTAGACTTTAGTTAACTGTTAGTTTTCCAGACTAGGAATAAAAATCGATTTTGTGTATTTAGAGGGTGGTGAATAAGGGGCGTATCTGTACTACTTCAACTACTTTTAGGTCGTACCGCTCAAGCTCTTTGACTTGCGTCCACGGTTAGTCCCTAAACCAAAGAGTATTCACATCCAGGCACTGCATGGTCGAACAGTCAATGACTTTATAGACTTTTGAGACTTCTTTGTTCGATCCTCCTTACGCCTTTCTAAATGACTCCTATACTAGTTGGTACAGTACTTTAGATTATTCGGCAGATATTTGTACGTGACACGTCCCAACCATTTCAATCTATGCAAGTTTTTGAAACTTGCTCACTCAGTTTACTTACTCAGTACTCTACGCCAAACAACAAAGTTACTCATTCATCCCATCATGTTTATGCGTCATTAGGAAAGTGTGATCGAATACTTACCAGCTATGCATTTTTCTGTATGAATTACTTTGTACAACTATAAGATGATACAAGTAACTTATTCGAACAACAATCGTGTTTGATGGTCCCACTTGCGGTGATGAAATCTGCATATTTCACAAGGATCCTAATCTTTATTATGGTTAAATGGAGAGAAAATTGTGCATTGCTTTTAAGTTGAGCCTAAAACCAACATAGGGAACCCTGATTATTAGTGCTTGAGTCAAGGTAACCATATCCGTTCTGTCATTATTGGGAAAACACGAAATTCTTCATTACAGAGTTTTAATACACTTGTTCAATGTGATATGTAGAAATAAGCATTTCACTGAATGTCAAGTTCGAGACAAAGTGTTGTAAACTTTGATTATTTCCACAATGATATAGCTATTAGCTGTACACTTAAGCATGTCTATCTTTTAACGGACATCAAGTACATGAAGTTGTCACATTGTGTAGTATATTGTGGTTCGAATTGTGATAGTACCCAAATAGTCATGCACGTATCTGGTTATTCTTATTCAATGTGATACTAATTTTCTGAAGAGGTAATCTTTTGCTCTCACTTGCTTGGATTTTATTTATCCCAAGTATCAGATATACTCAACGTATAACCGCTCAAATGTTCATCACTTCAACTTTCCGAATTTCGCAGCCTCAGGAGAATATGTTTGTCTGGATGAGAAGAATATGATTAAATAATGAGAAATAAATGAAAAACAATAGGATTCTCAAAACTTATGGAATAGTAAACACTGAATCTACCATTACCTTCATTGGTGACAACTTTCGAACCTTATGGAACCCATATAGGAAGCTGATGTAGTTCAAACCAAAATCAATAATTTTATGGACTAGCACTATGTCTTACACTTATAAGCTGTCTTATTGCAGCTAACGTTTGTATTTGTCAAAATATTTTGGTAGGTATAGACTCCGGATATGATTTACACTCCAGTCACCTCAGAACGTACAAGTTCGTAACCGCATTTTAAAAATCATTTGTTATTGGGATTGATTTTATCGTTGTTTGTAACATCATACGAGCGACGTTTGCTTTGGACAACAGCTCTAGTTGTCACATTTCTTGAATTTCAGACTGATGATAGTGGTGTGCATATGCATGATCCAACTTTATTCGACATTGATACTGACTCTGCCTTAAGCGCCGATGGACCAAACAAGTAAGCTAGTGTGTATATACCATGTTTTTTCTTTGAATGATGCCTTTTCATCTAATATCCGATTATTGTTGTAACAATTTTTGATAGTCTGCGGTACTTAAAGCACTCGTCACAAAAAAGTGCAAACTGAAGTATTTTGAAATTTTAGTTTAAGATGTGCTATTAGAACTGTTATTTCGAGTTTATTCATCAAATGTAACACAAGAAACAACTTACAGCATCCGGTTTTATGGATGTGTATGTTTTTAATTACCAAAAAGTCTAAAAATAAGTTTATAACTTGTAACATCAATACTGTATCGTTAATTGGTAATTTTTATCAGGATAACGAAAGCTCATCAAGTTGTTGTCTACTCACACCTTGTCTTGCGTGAGAATGATATTTGTTTGCATATCAATGAGCGACCGTATTGTTCAGCACTTCGTCATGGTTTACTCGGCGGTTATTAAAACCACTCTCTAAGTGTACAAGAAATATGTACTTGAAAAGCGTCTGTCATAATCGAGGGAAAAAAAAATCAATTTGTCACTGGATGTAAATGCGCTTGAAAAATAGCATTTTCTGGTCATCAGTGGTACAGTCAGTCAGTCAGTCAGTTGCAACGTAGAACTTCGTACGTATGTACATAAGTTCATGTAGCCATACCACATTAACACAGTGGTACATCAGTGAGTGTATCTATTGTAGGGGTAAACAACAACCCTGTAAACTTCCTGAGAAAACACTCAAGTGGATAACAAATTTTATTCCAAACAATGTATATACATATATACTCTATGAATTACACTGAATGATATATATATATATATATATATATATATATATATATATATATATATATATATATATATGGCTCAATTGAAATATAACTTTATTTATCTCTAACTCTATTATAGTTTCTCATCCAGGTAATTTATTGTTCATTATTGTTAAATATAACGTTAATTTCGTATACTCAATAGAAACTCATATCACTCATTTTTTCTAATAATAAACCCTGTATTCGGCTTTTTTTTCTGTTTTTCTTTAAAAACCAAAAAATTCTTAAATTGTTTGCTGCATTGCTCTTCAATTTGCAATCTAATCATCATTTCTATGATTAACATTGTTATCTGTGCTTGTCTAACCCGATTCATATTTGATCATTACCGCTGGGTGATTTCATCTTTGTTTTAATAATGATGATAACAATTTATCGACTTCTATCATTATTACTATTACTATTTTGGTCGCAATGTTGATGCTAATTGTACTTGATCCAAACACTTGATATTGATTTACAAACGTAGTAGTACTCGTTTAAAACGAAGTGAGATTAGAAGCAGTTGGCCAAAGCATAGGTAAGTTCTTTTTTTCTCTCTGATAGTTACTTCCGCGTGGGTTTTCATCGTTTTTTACATACAGTGATAGGATCATATTCATTAAACACATGTTAAAGTTTTGTCAAGCTATGTAATATTAACTCACACATTCAAATGTATGACTCAAAGCCTAGTACACAAAACTAGTTAATTCAAAGTAAACAGAGTAGTAAAACTGAATTTATATCCGATCGTTTCACGTTTGGATGTAAGCCAACTTTTTCTTAACATAAAACTCTAATTTTGTTTCATATGGTTTATCTAAAATATTGTAAATGGATGATGGGATTTATAACGAATTTAATATTTCACAGGAAAAGCAAAACTGTCAGGATTTATAAAATTCAAATAATTCTATAAACTAAACTGCATAATACGTATTGATTGATCTGATAGTCAAGTATAACGGATGCATGTAATGGTCTCTTTGTTTTTTAAGGGAAAAGGGGTTGGTAATCGGATATTCAGATATGCTTTAATGGTCGAACTTTCATTTCTTTTCACAAAAACAAATTTCGGATGTTGTACAACAGTTGCTATGATGCCTGCGAATTTTCATTTTTTCTCTATGAATTTTAAATAAGACGATTTCAATTGTTTTTTCCATTTCATCTAGTACTACACTGTCAGTCTTTTCGACTAATCTGTTAAATAAGTAATGCTGAGAAAGGATCTGTTTGAAATGCTGAAAAACATTTTTATCTTTCAGATTTCTGTTCTCTTGTTTGTTTACTTCAATCGAGTCAAATTCATTTTAACTCCATTTATTATTTGTTAGATACAGTTTGGGCTATCTGTAAGTATCATGCACTATGGAATAAAAAGTTTGTAGTCTCTTTATTTATAATTCTTTCCTTCGTTAGCTACTTCCTCACTGTTTCATCTTTCAACTTGGTCAATTTATGTGCTCTGTAGCATGCGTTCATTGCATTAATCAATTAATTGTTCAATTATTTTATAATTAGTTCAATTTTTCAATCTTTGTTTTGCTATACACAAGGGCATGGTTTGATTTGTTTGTGTGTTTTAGTTTGCATAAAGTTGAGTTCGATAATAACAGCGATTGACAGAGGGGTGATATACCCTCCAATTAATAAGCAAAGCTAAGTCAAATGTTCAATGAATAATAACTTTTTACCTGTACATATAGACGAGACTAGAATTTGTAAGAGAGATTTTACATTTCAAGTAAAGGCTTTAAAATGAATAAACATCTCAGTATGTATGATATTGTACATGACTAAACATCCAATAGGATTTAGTATCAGTGACGCGCTATTTTCATGCTGCAATAATAATAAGTTGTGGAAGCTTACAATATCATTTGTTGCTGTGACAACCTCAAAATGTCATAAGGTCAAGTCAAGTTTGGATGAACTCCAACATTTTGTAAGACAGAAACACATTTTTATTCATATTCTTTTGGAGCACATATTCGTTGGTCTGCTCGTAATCGAGTGAATGTAGATGTAACTGTGTATTTATTTGATTTTATATTGTGTTAAGCTACAATTTCAAACTTTACTGTACCTACTTCGGTTCAGTTAGGTGGAAAATTGTTTAGTTTAGAGCTTACTACACTGATTGCTAGTTGATTTGTGGATTTCTGTAACCCTGTTTTAGTAAAGCATGAATTATTCGTGACTATGAGTTCGTTTACAGGAACTCATTTTATGATATCTTAGATTTAGTATCATGATCTTGAAACTTAAAAAAATGGGTACTTAAAAGTAGCGTAAAATTACTCGGATAAGTTTTCCATGAACAGATGCCATAAGGTTCTTTCTACTACACTGTTTTGTAGGTGCTAATAGCATTTAAGTATCTACTTCATTCGATGGTAAATTTCGTCACAAAATAACAAAATATCACGAAAATCATAGACAGCTTCTAGTTGATTTTGTGTCTTCTGTTTATTTCTGACTTTCATTGAAGATTCCATTTTTAGAAAAAATATTATTTTCATTGATATTGAATGTTCCACTTTCTGCATCAGTTTTTCGTGTTAGTTACATTCTCACTGAATAATTGATTTGTTTACAGTAGTTAATTCATGGATTAGTTAGTCAGTCAATCACATCACACAACATTACTCATCTGTGTTAAGTATTTAAGCATATGTATGATGTGCTGTAGTGTGTAATAATTGTTGTAGTAATAGTGATGTAGTTCTTCAAAATAATATATATATATATACATCAATTTAAATCTTGTGAAATTTCTTATGCGTACAACATTTCTTCAGTCTAAGGGCTATGCATGTCTGTCATTGTTGTTACTGTTGTTGTTGTTGTATGATTAGGATTAACCAGTTTTTAAACTTTTTTTCAAGTTCTCTGAAACTATTTATTCAATATTTTGAGTGGCTATCAACCAGTCGGGAAAGTGTTTGGTTCTTAAGGCAGTTTATAACAAAAGGTAATGAAATGAATGTAGATAAACAGTGTTAATTTGATTGATGAACGATGAGGTTAGGATTATGAATTAGCAGTCCAAATGGAGTTATGAATTAAGGTTACAAGTTTCGTATTTGGGGGTTAGGGTTAGGCTTAGAATGTATGTTTTAAGTGCATGAATACTTTTTAATTACACATCAAGTACGCTCAAACACAATACCTGTGTTTCGGTGCAGGTATTCTTTGTGTTTTAGCTGATGCAGGATGTCACATCACTTATGTAGTTACAGAAAAGATATTTTCAAACAATATCAGGCATTTTTGGAATTAATTTTACACATTTTCATCTCACTCTTCAACAGGGTACATACTATCCTTCGCTACATTTCCAATTTCGTTAAGAATGCAAAAAACTTTCTTAAATCTAATCGGTTCCTTAAAGGATAGTGTTCTAATTAAAGTGTAAGGGTTTACTTTTCTGTCTTAGTTATTTTCATTTCCCATATCATATATGCTGTTAAATTGACAAAGAAATTAGACAAAAACGGAATTCAACTTGAATTTGCTTTTTTGTTTGTACTATTTCGTCAAGTATACAAATTTTCAATCTAACTCATAAAATGGTCATAGTTAGACAATCATTATAAACCAGAAAGCACTAGACAGTCGTTTCGTTCCAGCATGGGACCGATTAATAGGCATCCACAAATCTGCCACAGGATATCAAACTCAGGACTTTATGTTTCACGCTCGATTATCACCTACAGACTAAGATTAGTTCGTACTGACAACAAACACAAATATTTCGTTATCTAATTTAGATGAACAGTAATTTATCTTTTTTTTCCTCTACACTTCTATATATTGCACTGTTTAAAAAATAAATTCTTGTTGTTTTGTTTTATTGCATTGCACGAAAATTAATTGGTGTTAGACCAGTTAGTATCACTATTCTATTTTTTATTTATTTAAAAGTATAAAATTGTTTACTTTTTCTCCTGATGATTTTCTGTGGTATCTTTGGAGAATATTTTGCGTTTGGTTTAATTATCGGATAAGTATTACTGTTGATGAGTATAAAGGAGTAATTAAATAAAATGACCAATTATTTAGTGAATTCGTTAATTTTAATCAGTACGTATCATGTTTTTGCGTTTACTACGGACCTCGATTCACTGTGGTAGGTAGCATATAGACACAGACAGACAGATACAACGCAGAACTTCGTACGTAAGTACATCAGTTCAGGTTGCCATTCCCCATCAGCACAGAAACGCAACTGTCAGTTCAAATCCAAGAGTGATAGCAATAATAGAAGTATTAGCAGTAATGGAGAAGATTAGGGAGCAAAGATATGATTCGAAAAGTATGGTTCAGTAAGATAAATTTAGAAGGAGAAAGGTAGAGATTATGAGGAATGCAGAAGCTTAGAATTTCATAGGACACAAAGAGTGGATGCACCTGCGCCATTGCAAATGATTCTGAGCCATGTCATTCAAGGTCTCTAACCATCGGTGACTATCGTCTCGCGGACCCCGACCAGGTAGCCTACATCTATGAACAGGACTCAGTCCACTTGTCAGTGACTTCATGTATTTCTGCCATGTTTTGGTTTGGCTGACCCTAACTTTCTTCCAATCTACTCCTACACTGCAAAAAATAGCTCGTCGCGGCAGTCGGTGGTTAGCCATACGTAACACATGTCCCAACCACCTCAACTGATAAAGTTTCACCACTTCATCTACTGACTTGCCATTCTTACCTAGAACTCGTTTCCTAACGACAGCGTTGCTTATACGGTCGTCCCATGATACACTCGAAAACTAGTAACCTACGGAAGTCCTCTACTCTTAACGGCCAAGTCTCGCATCCGTACAGTAGGACAGAGCGAAATGCTGCACAGTACACTCGTCATTTGGTTAGCGAACGGATATCTCACCTACGCCATAGGTGACGCAGGTTGGCTAGAGCCAATCGATCCTTCTGTATCCGAGCCATCAGCACTGATGAGACTCCCGAGACAAGTGAAGCGGTCTACACGCTCAACTACTTCATTTCCTATCACTAATTCAGGTGAAGTCGCAAGCAAATCTTGAAGCGACATTCTGTATTTCGAGGCCGAGAACCGCATACCGAACATGCTTGCATTGCTGCTCAAGGTGGTCAGAAGACTGCATTTTGTCAGCGTCTTCACCAAGTAGGACTATGTCATCGGCGTATTCTAAGTCGATAAGCAAGCCTCCTGGTAAAAGGTCTACTCCAGAAAATTCAGACGAGGATAAGGTTATTTCTAGGAGCATGTCTATGATAAAATTAAACAAGAATGGAGAGAGTGGACATCCCTGACGGACACCACTTGATGTAGAGAATTCCGTTGACAGTTCGCCATAAGCTCTCACTCGACCAGTGGTATTCGAGTACAGAGCTTGTATAAGGTTAATGTACTCACTTGGTACACCTTTCAATGACAGACACTGCCACAGAACCCCACAATCCACTGAGTCAAATGCCGCCTTAAGGTCCAGGAAGACAACTATTGTAGGACGCCTAAACGTGTGTTTGTGTCCCAGGACCTGTCGTAGTGTGAAGATGTGGTCTATACAGCCACGTCCAGGTCGAAAACCAGATTGGTTTTCTCGAGTTCGCTCTTCACGAGCTTTCGTTAAGCGTCGAAGTATTACTGAGGCCAATATTTTAGATACTATATTAGTTAGACTTATTCCTCTGTGATTGTCACAAGAAGACTTCTGTCCTTTCTTATAGATTGGGACAATCAGTGATTGAGACCAGTCGGATGGGATTACGTCCAGTTCCCAGATTCTACCTAAGATCTCAGTCAATCTAGCTGCTAAAACTGGACCACCATCCTTAAATATCTCAGGGGTCAGTCTATCGGGACCTGCAGCTCGTCCTCGTTTCAGATTTCCTAACGCTGTTTCAACTTCATTAAGACTAGGGGGACTTACGTCGATTTGCCATTCAGGATGACTGGAGATCGTGGGTAACTGAAGAGTGGCTCGAGGCCAGTTGAACTGATCCCTAAAGTGTTCTGCCCATCGATCCAGTCTCCTGGATTGAGAATAAATAATAGTCCCGTCATATTCTGAGATAGTCTCACTTACACTAGGATTCCTAATACCAGTTTCCTTGATAAGTCTGAAAAGTTGTCTACTGTTGCCGATCGCCGCTGCCTTTTCCATCGCTTTTGCTTTCGCCACCCACCACTGTTCGCGATCGTTACGTAGGCTTTTTATAAGTCTGCGCCTAAGTTGACTTCGTTCTTCATCATGTTTAGAGCCAGGTGGGATGAGTTTTCGGGCGTCCATCAGATCGGTGGATGCTACTGAGATCCACGGTTTCATCCTAGCCTCATGGCTCACCTTTCTAGCAGATATCACTG